ATGGTCATGGTGGGTTGCTACGTGCAGCAGATGTCTTGCTCTCGTAACAAGTGTCAAAACGACAGTTGACGGTTACTATGCAAGCAAAGCTCGGGTAAGACCTGGCATGTAAGCTTCCTTGCTGCCTTCGCCCAGCTGGCGAATTTTTCGCAGATGCAAGGAAGGGTGTCTACGCAGTAGTACCAGTAGGCGGCTGGAAGCACGGATGAAATAGAAGCTGATGTGCACACTATCTTCCATTTGATCCTTCAGAAAAAGAGGTGCCTCAGTTGGAAGTAGCTCGCATGTGCCCCCCATTGACGACAACGTGGATCTGCTTCCCGCTGTCCATTGCCAGTTCGCGTGATCCCAACGACGCACTTTGAGACAATCACACCATCGTCAAAGAAAAGCGCCTGTCACTTGATGATGATTTCATGACCGTCTATTAACATATGATTATGCTAAAGATGTCTGAAAACTTCTAAGCCAGGACAATAGCTCCGGAACTGGTAGCTTGTCTTGGCTGTCACCTAAAGGTATCGGCCCATCCCGAGGTTCGAGAATAAAGAGGTCGATACAGGTATGCATGATAGCCCCGGCGACAGCTGTGGCGGGACCGCGATGTTCGCGTTTCGCTAATGCGGTAAGATGTCGAATTCCCAGCGCCCAAAAACGCGCGGCGCTGTGGAGAGGCGTCGACTGCACTCCTCGAAAAACCGCGTCGTTCCGCTCATTCCATAAGTGGGTCAGACAAATGCTGCTCATAATAAACCAGAGACGCTTCCAAACCGCGACACCAGCCTCTAAGTCCTCCGGGAGCATACGGTAAATCCGAAGACGCTGCTTGGCCGGTATCTCCGGCGCGTGACGATTCACACTCCCGACGAACCTACGCTCTCCCCACGGCCTCCCAGCCCGTTCACAAAAGCGCCTGTCACTTATGTTGATGAAAATATTCGTTCAATTGATCTTTACAGGTCGGACATCCGGAAAATAACAGCAACGTAGCAACGAAAAGGTCGGATGTTAGTTAGGGGCCGTGGACTACCCGCTCTAATACGTTCATCAGATTAGTCTGAATGATATTGTTCTCGGTGGGTCAGCGTGATCGAACTGCGTGACCACATTCACTTCCCTGCCAGCACATACCCACGAAGTGAGCAACGATGATACTTATGTGCTCACTTTTGAAGACATGCATTCGTTATTAACATATTTTCTTTTCGCTCCAAGCGTATCGAATGCTATTCGATGCGCGCGCCTAGCACTACCTACTTTCGCTGGTGTTTGCGATCAATTGAGACTCGGATGCAGTTCACATCGAGTACGCAAGCGCCAGAATTTGCGATCACGATGCCGTTATTGATCCTTTTGCGATTCTCCCCCTTCATAGTGTTGCTTGCGCTGCAAGCATCTCCCGTCGGCCAAAGATCGTAGAAGGAAGACGGAGCAGCGTTGTAGTTAAACATCTCGAATGTGCATTTAAGCAATCTGAGATTTTCCTTTTGCGCGGCACCAGCACGTGATTCGTGCTAATGGAATTTCATCCCCACGACGTGTATCAGATGTGTGGACACTTCATCCTAGACAGCTTAACGTGCTCTACCTACTTTCGATGCCTTGTCGACGACACGTTGAGTACTTTCGAGTGCTTTAGATGGACGACCTGTTCGTAACAGCCTTACTAGATATCTCAGCTTGAACGTATATGTACACGTATCGAAGATTCGTAAGATCAAAACGCAACGAGCACACGTCTAGTCCTCAAAAATTCAAACTTCTTGTTGTCGAGCCATCGACCAAGAACCAAAAAAAAGAGTGACGGTGAATAATATTCGTCATCTAAGCGAGAGACATCATGCAAGATCTTAACCTCACACGCAACACCTTACGGCTTTGCTCTCCATTTTGCTGTTGGTATCACAACGCTTCAGTGCAAGCCGATTCTGGTCGACATCGAGCCATAGCGACGATCCGCTTTCAGAGGTTGGAAGTAGCGGTGGACAAGCATATACGATCCTGCAATCGTTGCGACATTTGAAAGGTGTCCTTTGGATGCACCTCGATCCTACAATCGTTGCGACAGTTGAATCGTGTCCACCGGATGCACCACATGTGTCACATATGGGTGGGCTGGGCTGGCAACGCGATTTGGTGATGTACCCGCAATTTTCGAAGGATTCTTAAATCGATGTGTAAAAATTGGGAGATTCTGAATAACTAAGGTTTGCCATAAAACAACGAGAGTCAGTACCATTCTATGCACGATTTGCATCGGCTATATTAGTCTAGATTTTTGTTTGCTAAACGTGGGCAAGCGAAAAGCCAGGTCACCCTTTCACTTTGCATTGACATCTATTGTAACGGGGCACCCTGAAGCTTGTACTGGTGACAGTACAAGCTACTTATTCTGATAACAGAATAAGGCGGTGCCTCGTAACTTCACGTACACTCGTACGTGCAGAGGAAGACGGTAAGAAGAAGCGAGTACTTGGTTAGAGTAAAAAGTAGAACTGTATTTATAATAGTTAATGTCTGCAATAAATCACTATTTATCTTCATCTAACTATGTCTGAATACAAATGTGTAAATCAGTTATCTGCTCACCACTTATTGCGTGCGTCTGTCGTGGCGCGTCTTCGTTGGTTGATATAACGGCCTATATCAACCAATTAGGAACTACTTGGAAGTGCTACAGAATATTGTCCTTATGACAATATTCTGAGAATATAACTCTTATAGTTATATTCTAATAACAATTTCTTATAAATTGTTATGTAACGATTCACCCCGTTACATCACCCCCCCCCCTTAACCATCAGTCACTTTAGTGACTGATTGACTAAATGGATACTCGTCCCAAATCATTTGGGACGGGGTTTGCACTTGTTGGTCCGCGTCCACTTTCCAACATCTCATCGCATGGTAAACAAGCCCATGCGATGCGCGAGCAAGGCCGCCGAGAGCGCGTCTGCACGTCTCTGTGCGGACGCCGAAGCAGAAACTACAGCAACTGATGTCCCATCGGTTGCTGAATCGACTCAGCCTGTATCACCTGGTGATGCAGGCGCTGGTCATGAAGACACTCGTGTCTTCACAGAGTACGAGCTCGGTGTCTCGTACTCTCCTGATACGGATGACGGATCCGTATCGACGGCAATTGAATCCAAGCCGCCTGCCAAGCGTGGCATGGACGATGCTTTGCGTCGCAGCATCTTTGGTTCATCTGATGAGTCAGATGAACCATCGCCGAAGCGAAGGCGCTCGAGGTCGCGAGACTCGGGCGCTAATAGTGGTGTCGTTTCTCCAATGGACACCACTTCACAGCGAGGTGCCAGTACTTCTGTCGGCACGTCGCAGGAAGAGCGGGACCGCAATGTGTTGCGTCTCGCTCCAGAAAAGAAGGCATGGATGCCTCCTAAATCTGTCATGGATCACTTGTCGGCGACGACGAGTGATCGTTATCGAACACGATTGTTCGATTCGTCGAGGATTCATCACCTTGACCCCAGCGCGAAAGACTATCGCGCTGAACATGAGTTCTTCATCGATGCTTTCTTCAGACATCGATGGTACAGTGGGAATCACAAACGTGATGGTCCCTCACTACTTCAGGCGTGGAACGCCTACATCCATAATCTCGAGGATGTAGGTCGTGACGCTTGGAACGACAAACTTATCAAAGCTCGTGATAAGTTTGAAAAGCGAGCCCCGACAGGTTCACGCTACAAGCTGCATCGTCTGTCAAGGGAGAAAGGATTACCCTGCCTCTCTTGGGGAGACTCGTGCCCATGTTGTGTGAACAACTCTGCACGAGCACCTAAGGAGGCTTACCTCCTTACCAGCCCGTGGTGGCGCGTACGTGTCTCTACTGAGATGTACGAAGGGATTGACAACCTGAAATCCCTTTACGACCGTGCCGGGAAGACTTTCTCCGGCGGTCCTTCTGCGGCACAGGATGTGTCGCGTCGTACTGCTCGACCAGACCCAGTACGTCAACCATCAATTGGGAGCGGGGCTCCCAAGAATCCCAGGACGGGGGATAGCCGCGCCACCGGACGAGGTAACTCGTCCGACGTCCGTTCACGTCGCGGTGGTTCAACAGCTGCTCTACTAGATAGCGCTGGCCACCGCGAGAGTCCTCTAATGGAGGTGGAGGAGGAGGAAAGACGCTCTCCACACGATCATGTGGATCGGTGTGTTCCCGAGAGCTTCTTTGATCGCGTAACGCAAGGGTTACGCGACGATCTCGAGCATGAGCGGAATAGGCGTCTCCAGATGGTGGACACTGCCTCGAAGCATCGAGCTGAGTTTGCCTTTGCTCAGCTTGAGAACGAGAGATCTCTGACATCTCTTCGTGACGAGCTAAGGGTAGCTCGTGGGATTGTTGATCGGTCTCGGGCTGAGATAACTGCTCTTCAGACCCTTGTTGATGCCCACCATCGGGAGCACAAGGCTCTCTGCGAGATGCTTGAGCGCAAGGGCGTTCTTCATCGGAAGAAGCAGCGTACTGATGGTACGGCTTAAGCCGACCAACGTAAAACGTGGGATGCGTTCGCATCTTACGTGGTAACTCGATCGTGTATGCATTGCCTAGGCGGTGCAATACACGAAATGGGCCAATGTACTTGGGTAGTAGTTTACTGCTACCCAAGTTAGTCACTACATGTTTTGGTAGATTAACCGTAGACAGTAGGACTAAGTCACCTTTATTAAATAAAAGAGTGTTTGCCCTTCCATTCTTGTCAGCGTTTTGCTTTTGCTTATCCACCGCTTCGGCGATGGAGTCTTGCACAAAACGGACTACCGTTTCACGAGCCAGTATGAACTCATCTGATGACTCGTTAGCTTCAGTGTGCTGTGAGCGCACTGCAGCGACAACAACCTTTTCTTCAGTGAGGGCTTCCGCACTCTCACTGGGATCATTGTCTTCAGTGAGGGCTTCCGCACTCTCACTGGCATCATCTTCTTCGATATCGATGTTATCGATATCGGCATCAAACGCAATGACTTCTTCGTCAGAGCGTGATGAGCGTGAACCAAATCGGTTTTTGCTCGCGCGAGTCCCTCCCCCGTAAACCAGAGTTACACTCTAGTAAGGTGGGTACACGCGGATGGCGCAAGCCATTCACGTAAAACGGTGTATGTGTCGTGGACGCATGCACCGAGTTGTTGATGGCAAACTCTACCATCGGCAAAAACTCACTCCAACTCTTAAAGGAGTGTACGTATCCTCGAAGTATCTCTTCAAGGACACGATTGGCACGTTCCGTCTGACCATCTGACTCTGGATGATCAGATGTTGACATCTTCAAGCGCGTTCCGAGTGATTTGAACACGGAACGCCAGAAATCAGCAGTGAATCGTGGATCTCTGTCTGATACGAGTTCACGGGGCAACCCATGAAGTCGGAAGATGGTGTCAATAAAGACACAAGCACAGCCACTTGCCGTGATTGTCTCTGGTACAGCCACAAGGTGTACCATTTTGCTGAATCTGTCAACAAATACGAGAATACCCGTATTCCCGCGTGCGTCTTTGGGTAACCCGAAGACGAAATCCATTGAGATGGATTCCCAGCACTCAGCCGGAACCGGTAGAGGCTGTAAAGGTGCACGCAGTGAAGGACTTGACTTCACTCGTTGGCAGACTTCGCATGCGCGAACATACTTTCGCACAAACTGATACTGGCGGGGCCAGTAAAAGTCTCGACTTACCGTGAGATATGTTTTCTCTCGGCCACGATGTCCTCCTATAGGAGCATCGTGATACTCGAACATGATCCGCAAACGCAGATCAGTATCATCTGGAATGACAACACGTGGTGTGTCACCAGAAACGGCTGTATAATACAGTAAACCGTTACGAGTAGTGTATCGATCTGATGCAGATCGATACGCAGACGACAATCGTTTCAACGATTCTCGAGATGGTTGGGAGAGATGTGACAACAACTTCACTATCTCACCATCTTGGGCGTATGCCCGCCTCACATCATCATACAACGTTGTAGATGGAACTGAGGACGTCATAACCGCAACAGTGACTGTCTCACTGTTGGGTTTCGCGACTGTTTCAAAGTCGGGACGACGTGAGAGTGCATCAGCGACGACATTAAGTCGTCCTGGTTTGTACTCGACCGTAAAGTTGTATTCTGCAAAGAATGACAACCACCGCGCCATTCGTTGTGAAAGGTGCGGGCTGTTCACTGCCGTGCGTAAGGACGCATGGTCAGTGTAAACAACGAAGGGTCTATCTCCTAATAGATAGACTCTGAACTTCGCGAGTGCATACTTCATGGCAAGGAGTTCCTTGTCATGCACTGGATAGTTCCGCTCAGCTGGTTGCAGCTGACGCGACTGATAGCAGACGACGCGTTCAACGCCTTCAAGGTCGTACTGCATTAATGCACAGCCGATTGCGAAATCGCTGGCATCACAGACCACATGAAATGGCCTGTCCTGATCGGCTATTGCTAGGACTGGGGATTGTATCAAGCTCTGCTTGATACCCTCAAAGGAGCGTTGACATTCAGCGTTCCATAACCACCTCTCGTTCTTTTTCAACAAACGAGAGAGGTGTACAGTCATCTCGGCGTAATTGCGTGAATACTTATGCAAATACGCCGCTAGCCTAAGGAATTTTCGAAGACCTTTGACATCGACCGGCACGGGCCAGTCGGTGATCGCCTTGATCTTTTCGGGATCAGGACGTACACCGTTCTTACCAACGATGCACCCAAGAAGTGGTATTTCGCTTGCTGCAAATATACACTTCTTGAGGTTTGCATACAATTGATGCTTTCGCATGATTGTAAGAACTTGTCGGACGTGGTACTTGTGAACCTCAACGTCCGACTTTCCATCCATAGCTCGACTATGGATGAATACGTCATCGAAATAACTCGGCGCGAATTCTCGTACTGGCCTCAACAGATGTGATACACACCTGTTGAACGTGGCAGGGGCATTACTGAGCCCTTGTGGCATTACTAGCCATTCCCAGAGCATGCCGCTAGGCGTGCTAACTGCGGTATAGGGTATATCCCGTTTCCCGCATTAGGATTTGATAGAAGCCATCCATCAAATCCATGGACGAAAAGATGGTACTCTTTGACATACCATCAATGATTACGTCCTTCCTCGGTATCGGCGTCTGAGCCGGTACCGTTGCAGCATTCAATTTGTTAAATGCATGCGCTATCCGCCACCATCCTGTTGCTTTTCGCACACAGAAGGTCGGAGAGCTATGTGGGGAAGTTGATTCCCTCACATGGCCCGCTGCAGCTAAACGATCGGCAAAGAACTTGTCGATCGCAAGTACTGTTCACGAGGCAGTGGCCACTGCTTCATGACACAGTACTTCGAGCCTGGTTTAAGCTCGACTTCGTGTCGAATACCTTTATCCTTCGGTAATTCGCACGGAACAGTTTCAGGGAATACATCCTTGAATTCAACCAAATCTTCATAGAGAGGATTTTCCTTGAGCGATTCCCATGATTGGGACTCATATCGCTCAATTCGTGTCTTTTCATCTAGGACACTCTCGTCCATAGATGAACTACTGAGAACTCTCTCGCTCTCAGTAAACACTGTTGCTGACCTTATGTCGGTTACACACTCGTCTTCAGCGACGAGTATGCAGATCTGCTTGACTTTGCCACTACGCAGATCACGCAAGAATCTTTTATGTTCGAGCGTTGGCAACTGAGTGATCTCCGAAGTTAACTTCGGAGGCGCAATCAGATCAAGTGTATAAGCGCCTACACATGATCCGTTATTGACTATGACATTCAATGTCTCTGTCATTTCCTGGGGACTTATTCCCTCAGGCTTCGAAGGACTTATTCCTTCGTCTTCCCGGGGACTTATTCCCGCGGGTTTCGGGGAACTTATTTCCGCCGTATTTGTAATCTTGGGACTTATTCCCTTTACTTCCTCTAGCTGGGGTTGCGCAACCACAGCGAGATCCTCTACAAAAGACTCTCCAGTCGATCTAGGATTATCGTTTCGCTTAACCTGAGCGATCGATTGTTTCTCTTCTAGATGTTCCCCTCTAGGGATACATCTTTGTCCCAGTCCACCCGACTTATTCGAGTGGTGGACCTTCGGCGCAGCCTGTGTTTCCCTCACAGCCGCCGGAACTTTGCTCCGAAGTGTAACCGTTTGGTACACTAAGGTTTTGTGCAGTCGTACTAACGACCGTACCACAGTGAGGCCATCGCACTCACTCTTAGTACATCCACACGCTTGTGGACTCTCCAAAACGTTCATCAGGTGGCCATCTGATGAACAAGCGGCAGAGCATCGTTACTGTCCGATGTTGCCAGTTTACCCGTGGTTCGTACCTTCTGAGCCACGGTATTCCAAGGATGACATCAAATTTGTCATCCAAATCAATACGATAAAGTCATCGTCGTATTGGGTATCTTCTAGCGTATAGTGAATCTTCACTATACGCTTCATGACTGGTTACGGATGCGCCTGTCGCAAGACGTACCGTCATCCTCGTAGGAGGTGTGTCACATTCACTGAATTTAAAGTGACCATCTTCTAGCGATTGGCGTCGCACAAAATTGTTGGACGCCCCACAATCGACTAGAGCTCGAAGGGACAACTTATTCGTCACTTCGAGTTTCAAGGTAATGAGTGAGATCTCATTACCTAGAGCAGCAACGCACAATGTCTGTGTGTTGGGAGCAACCTTCATCAAGAGGCCTACAAATTCTCTTGACGTTGCTGGATCAGTAGGGTGCTCCGCACCTACTGATCCTGTCCGTTTTTTGACGGTCCATCCCGTTGTTGCGTCTTTGCACCAACTGCGGACCCTCGTCCCTGCCCCTTTCTCATGGGTGGACGGTCACTACGCCCAGTGTCGCGAGACACTGGACGAGGGGCACTACACTCGTAAGCGTAGTGTCCTGTCTTCTGACATCTGTTGCATCTCTGCAACTTCTTGTAGCCTGTAGAGCGAAGCCTTCTCGCTCTCTACATAACAGAGTTCCATCGGCTCTGGACCTCCGTTGTCATATCGTCTCGGTTGACGATATGATGTCGAGATGGCGCGAGCCTGTCTCAGACTGAAGTCTTCCTGCTCCGCAATGGAAATGGCTTGTTCTAGTGAATCTAGTTCAAGCCGGAACAGGTGAGTCTTGACGGGACCATCCGCAAGACCCTGCATGAACACCGAAACCAACGTGTGTTCATCCACCGGATCGGAACTTATACAACTCGTGAGATGTCGTATACGTTGCGCGTAAGCGTGCACATCACGCTTACCCTGCTTGAGCTTCAAGAGTTCGGTTCGAGCTTTGAACTCAGCTCTAGGCGGTTCAAACGTTTGTCTGAGCCGCGACTTGAAGACTTCCAACGACCCAAACGCGTATGGGTCGTGCAGCTTGAGCCCCAGTGCCCAAGTCTTGGCACGTCCTGCCAGATTTGACTGGGCAAATGCAACTTGCATATCCCCGTCGTCGATGCGACGCGCCCTTATGGCGTCATCCAATTCGACGAACCATCTCAAGAGGGAGTCTTCTTCGACTCCCCTATACTTGGATATGTCAATCGTCAATGTCTCGGGTCGACGCGAGTGCATCGACCCGCCAGCAGCAGCCTGCTGCTGTCTCAACAGTTCAAACTGTTGAGCACCTTGTTCTCTCAACAACTCTGCTTGTTGAGAACCTTGTTGGTGAAGCAAGGCTACTTTCTCGCGTTCTGCGTCAAGTTCATTTTGAATGAACTTGGCGATAGTAGCATGTTGGGCATCTCTATTGAGAGCCTCTAGCATGACGCTAACAGCATGGATGCCCATGGTCGAACCCATTCGTTCAACCGCATCCCATTCGACATCGCTCAAATGGGAGTAGCCGTCACGCGTAGCGTGAAAGCTTTGGTCATCTTCATCATCCAACATATTCATGTTGGATGTGAACGTGGTCCTTGGACGGACTACGAAGTGCTACCAGGTGTAACGGGGCACCCTGAAGCTTGTACTGGTGACAGTACAAGCTACTTATTCTGATGAAAACAGAATAAGGCGGTGCCTCGTAACTTCACGTACACTCGTACGTGCAGAGGAAGACGGTAAGAAGAAGCGAGTACTTGGTTAGAGTAAAAAGTAGAACTGTATTTAGCATAGTTAATGTCTGCAATAAATCACTATTTATCTTCATCTAACTATGTCTGAATACAAATGTGTAAATCAGTTATCTGCTCACCACTCATTGCGTGCGTCTGTCGTGGCGCGTCTTCGTTGGTTGATATAATGGCCTATATCAACCAATTAGGAACTACTTGGAAGTGCTACAGAATATTGTCCTTATGACAATATTCTGAGAATATAACTCTTATAGTTATATTCTATTAACAATTTCTTATAAATTGTTATGTAACGATTCACCCCGTTACATCTATCGCCACCATCTATGTGATAAGCCCGTTCTTCTTCTCTTCTGATAGTGCAGCTCCTGCAACAACGCGCGAGTTTCACGGCATACCATGTGCACACGTCATGTGCAGCAATATTAAAACCAAACAAACGATTCAAATTAATACATTTACAAAGCGATGGGCAACGTACAATGAAAATGACCCGAACAGACACAACCCAGAGTTTTGGTATATCGCCACCTTTTTAATCACAAGGTGCAAGCCTGAAAAGGTGGCGCCACAAAGCAACAAAATGCCAACCGTCGTGCTTCGAGAGAACAGAGCGGTAGATCGGCGGCAACAAACGCATCCACCAAAGTGTCACAACCTTCTTCGGTGCTCTTCTCGTGTCTTCATCGAGTCCATGAAATGTAGCGAAGACTTTTCTCCTGCGAGCGTATTTCACAAGCCGCTGCCGTCATATCGGATCATCAACACGCCACCGATGTTAAGACTCTTGGTCTACAGCATCCCTCCGACGTTGCCGTTGCAGCTCGTCCCTATTTCTCCACTATCGCGTGATCCACTTTGCAAAGATATTACACATCGTAGGATACTCGGTACCCTGTGTCTTAGACACACGAGATAATATCCCACAAAAAGATGAATAAAAATCTTATCGGTTGACACGGGCTAACGGGCGTCAGCTGTAACGGGGTGAATCGTTACATAACAATTTATAAGAAATTGTTATTAGAATATAACTATAAGAGTTGTATTCTCAGAATTTTGTCATAAGGACAAATATTCTGCAG